TTTTTTAAAAGCATACTTACATAAATAAATGAGTTTTATGAGTTTTTAAACTATACAAATTATTCTCTCTACTAGACCTGTGGTTGACTGGCAGAGAATGCCACTTGGCATTAAGTCCGCCACTGTATGGTGGTGGTTTAAATAATAAATAAATAAATTATCACTTAGTGCGCAATAAAGAAAAATATAAAAAAATACATTAATTACTCAAAAAAAGAAGTTGATACACGCATGACAGTCACTATCATGAAAAAATACTAAAATTCAGCCAAGGCTTCAATAAAGCTTCAATTTATACCCAAGTTTGAATCTAGTTTTGAGTGTCGCTTTATGATACGAACTTAAAACCAACACGCGGGAAACATGACTCAATAACGCGACAGGGAATGGAAAGCTATCTCGAGGGAATATCTGCAAGAACATGGCGTTTCGCATCACTTCGGTTTATTGGAATATTTTCTCGACACTTATTTTCAGCAGATGTGTCATGTATCCTATAAGAGCCTATGGATCAATTCTGAATTTAATACATTTTTTGGCTGGATGGTCAGTTATTTTTGTAGTTATTTCATTAATAGCATTATGTACACCTAAATCAGTGTCAGTAACTTCACTGAAATCAACATTCTTAGGCAAAATGGGTAATACTATAAATTTTCTTTTACCATTTTAATTTCGCAAGAATAATACGGTAGCATAACAGCCCTAAAGGGGCAGCACAAATCATGACATTTGTAAGACCTTCGCAAATATTTCATTGTGGGCAATAAACTGTAATTGATTGCACGCCGGCCCGACTCCGTTCATTCCACTTATAAATTAACCGTTTAAATAACCACATAAACTTTAATCTCGGAGAATGAGATATTTGCCGTTTTTAATTGAGATATCAAATATTTCAAACTCACGGTCTACACTATAATAATGAGAACTGTAATTAATAGTTGCTCTATCATATTTCAATACACGTCATAATTTCTAGTATTACATTTAAATACGAAATAAAAAGAACCTCTGTGGTTTTCCTCAAAGAATAATAAAAATAATATATCTCTACCTATTTAAATACTGGTCTAAGCCACTGACTTTGTGTGCTACTAACTCAAGATAACGATTTTGATATGTATGTAATGTAATGAATAGTTTTCTTGAATTACCACAAGCTAATTCATAGAATCTAAATCAATACTTAAATAAAGATTATTTGACCCTAAAACTTGTATGTCGACGCCCCATCACCTATCCCACCCATTTCCTGACCGGTCAAACTAACTTTTCGGGGCGCGTAATCCCAAATGTCATTCTAAGTGGTTGTTAGTGTTTGGGCAAATATCAAACAGGAAGAGGAATGTTCGGAATGCGGCGGGAGAGTTCGCTCGTGTTTGCCTTGTGGTTAGCACTTTCTAAATCCTTGCTGGGAGGTTAGCTTGTGCGTGTAGTTTGTCACTCGAGTAAAAGCTTATGAAACTATACTCCAATAGTTTACTACGGTCATATCGGGTGATACACTTACCTAGATCGAATAGACGGTATAACTTAGATATCTTTGAACGGAATGTAATACAGTGTGAGTCACGTTAAAGTGTACATATGAAAATAGATGAAAGTAGACCTATTTTTATCGACAAAAAAGAGGTCAAAAAATTTTTGAGATTTTTTTTAATTTTTTATTGAATTTTTTTTCTTCCAATTACTTATTGTAAAGAAAACGTAATAACTTTTAAACTATGCGGTATATCCTGATAAAATAAAAACAGTAATAATTCTAAATAACAGGCAATACTAAAAAAATACATAAAATACACAAAAAATGCCAACAAATAATAAAAAAATATACTTTTTTTTAAAAATCTGCTTTTAAATTCGTGTTTTTTTGGTTATTTTATAAATTTCTCCAAAAAATGCCCCTATAACAGGTGGTTTTTATTACTTTGTATTATTTTCTATCGTATTATCTTTGTAAAACCAAAAATCGCATGTCTCTATCCCTATCACAACATTTGCTATGATCGTTTGAACAAAGGCCTGCCACAACATTATTCTCCGCTACAGGTAGAGACAATTTTAATTTTAACTAAAAAGCTTATTTTACTTCGAAATCTTTTGTTTTTATTTGAAATTTNACATAAACTATAATCTCAGAGAATGAGATATTTGCCGTTTTTAATTGAGATATCAAATATTTCAAACTCACGCTCTACACTATAATAATGAGAACTTTAATTAATAGTTGCTCCATTAAACACATAATTTCTAGCATTACTCAAATACGAAATAAAAAGAATCTCTGTGGTTTTCCTCAAAGAATAATGAAAATAATATACCTCTACCTACTTAAATAGATACTGGTCTAAGTTTCTGACTTTGTATGATTACTCAAGTAAAATACCTACTACTTTTCTTGAATAACCATCTAGCCAATTCACAGAATCTAAATCAATACTTAAATAAAGGTTATTTGACCCTAATACTCGTATGTCGACGCCCCATCACCTATCCTACCCATTTCCTGACCGGTCAAACTAACTTTTCGGGGCGCGTAATCCCAAATGTCATTCTAAGTGGTTGTTAGTGTTTAGGCAAATATCAAACAGGAAGAGGAATGTTCGGAATGCGGCGGGAGAGTTCGCTCGTGTTTGCCTTGTGGTTAGCACTTTCTAAATCCTTGCTGGGAGGTTAGCTTGTGCGTGTAGTTTGTCACTCGAGTAAAAGCTTATGAAACTATACTCCAATAGTTTACTACGGTCATATCGGGTGATACACTTACCTAGATCGTATAGACGCTATAACTTAGATATCTTTGAACGGAATGTAATATAGTTCACATAAATAACTCTTGATTCCCTTGAACATAATGGATTTAGGTAACGATCAGGAAATGTCAAAAATTTGTAATAAATGATACTACTGTTTAAAAATCATTGAAATGGTCTCATTAACCTATTTATCTAATCAATCAGCATCACACACGTGTGTTACTACCTAAGTAAAATACCTATCCATCTGGTTATCACGGAAAAATTAAGTGGTTTTGTTTCAACCACTATAAGTAGGTAGGTAGGTACCTATCTATGCTCCGTTGCACACACATAATCAAGAAAATGCTATAAACATTTATAGGCCATAGAAAAGACATGCAACTGTAGCAATAAAAGTTAAAATACCATGTTACTGATATCATACTTACGTTTTGAAGAATATTGCACCCATAATAGCTATGTACTTATGAAGTGGTTAATCATGTTATTACTTCCAATTTGTGCTGCAAGTCGAAGGAGTAATGGTTATTTAATGGAATTTCAAAGAAGAACCTTTATCGAAATTGACCCAATCGCGTTCTTCGAATAGCTGTAACACATTGCAGCGAACGACCCGATTTTTCAGCAAATGGTGTGAAAATGGAGTGGATGAAGCCGTGCGCTCGCGTCGCCCGCGCCGCTTTCTTGTTCACGACCCATAATCGTAATGGGAGGTAATATCAGCAATTTCCAGCTCCAAAGAGCCTCTTATATCAGCCGTATCTCGCGCCGACCCATCGGATGCCCTGAACACCGAATATGCCGACTTAATGACCCGGACCCTTTGAGACCGCTCACCGAAATAATTATCCTAAATTCATTTATACTTCAAATTTTCTCCAATTATCGGTTTAACATACCGTACAAGGGTTCGTTTAAAAGTTTATTTTATGTTTTCGCGTGGACGGCCATAAAATTTCATTAAAGTCTGATAAATTATGATATCGTATGTTATGTAGGAGATAAAATTTCATTAGGTCTTCGTAATATTTATCGATATGGCACGGTTACTGCACTTACTGCTCATTTGTGTTGTCTTTTCGCTGAATCAATAAAATTGTCATGCTTTAGATCTCAATCGGTTCGACAAGTAAATAAAATATGTAGATAAACAGTTATGATTGGACGGTAAGTGGTAGTACTAAGCTGTTACGGTCAGTGCTTGAGTCGTTACTACTGAAGTTAAGCAAGTTGCGCCGCGGATGGCCTTTTCTGTCAATCAAACTCAACTCAATCTCCTTGTTTCAGAAACAGTGACTCTTTTGCCCAAATATCTCGGCGTAGAGGCCAGAACAGCCAGGGGATTAAAAGGCAATTAAGTAGAGGCTGAATATCTAAGTAAGTGTTTTATTAACATAAATCTGTGTTTAAAATTACAGTTTATAAACTGAATAAAGTCCATAACATCTACGAGTATTACGAAGAATCACACTTTACGTGTTATTCTATACGTAAGACGAAAGTTACTCCTGAAGTGGGTGAACAAAATAACCTATGTTATGGTATTTATTCCAACTCGAACGTGCTACGTGGAAATGAAATTGTTTTCATTTTCGTACAATATTATACGAGTGTTTTCATATGTTGTTCTGACTTGTTTGCGAGTTCCCAAAAATAAATGCCTGTTTAGAATACCCATATTTACAACCGCCCCTAAAGTTGGAATTTAGATGGAAATGAATGGAATGTGTCAAATTGTTTATGTTTTCATTTGAGAATTATAAAACACGTTTTGAGCTTTGCTTGTCAAGTATCTTTTGTGTGTAATTCTGTGAGTCACCATTCATAAAATAATACTTGACGTACATATATTTCTTTCAGTTATTGTGACTCACAGAATTGACTCCTCTAACATTCATAGCAATTACTGGTTCAATCTTCTCGTTATAAGGTTTAGAACTAGCTGTTAATGCGTCATCATAATCATTTTTAAGCTACTTTAGGTAGGATTATAAAAAAAATATTGTTGAACCCAACAAACTCTATCTTCCCTTATTTATATTCACGTTTATATGTTTAAAAGTACCCCTCCTTCTGTCGTAGTCGGGTAAAAACACCTAAGTAGTAACTATAACGCTATAAAATAGATTGAATCGAATTGAAAATAATATAAATAAATAAACCGTCACTGGCTCTGGCTTAAAAGTGAACCTTTCCGAATTTTATCACTTCCATTAAAATTTAGAATCAACGATCACTTACCGAGCTCTGCAAGTGCGCCAGGATCTGCTCAGCATTGGCTGGGTCCGCCAGCTCCACGGCTCCTGACACCTGCAACGATACCCCGCTCCATTAACTGGGTCAATCGCTCCCGGGGCAGCAGGACAGCGGGGAATTATTCGCCCCAATTTTTTGTTTTGTTTCCCACCAATACATGATGCAACAACCAATTTATTGTAGTCAATAAGTTATTACTTTGCCCGGTTTAGGTACTTTATGGTGGGCGTCAGTTATTTTATTAAATTGTATACAATTATCACAATGAAAATTGAAGAAGTGAATGAATGGATACTAAATTATAAACATAATAATAGAAAAACATCACCATGTGAATACAAACAGCAATAAACGGCGCGTCACTCACGTTACAAGAAAGGAAAAGAAACAAAAAAATATAATATGATGCTTATTGCTTCAACATTCAGTCTATTATTTATTCATCTTGCTTCGACATACAATCAGAAAAACCTTTATTTCGCCTCGCTAAAGCTCTGAGACTTTGTCATAAAGTTACAAAGAAAATAGATAAGATATTCTTAATAGTAGTTTTATGTGCACAATAAATATTTTCGCTTTAAAATCGCTCCAGCCAAGCCGTTTCGATTCAGGTCATTACATTCGTTTATAGACCACGTAATAGCAATAAAAAGAATACCCAAGTGCAAACACCAATGTTGGCTTGGCCTTGTAACACAACTACGCTCTCGAGTTTGCCAAATTTACTTATGATCACATTCGGGGCATTACATCTGGTTAGGTTAGCGTGAGAGAAATATAGCTATTTTAAACTTATTCAAGGAACGGTTATAAATACCTTAATTAGGTCCATATAGGTTTTGACTTAGGGCTTTGCAAATTTTTATCCAGTTTTTGAAAAAGGAACATTAGGACGTGATAGTTGATACCAAAAACGTAACGGAAAGCTTAAAACTTTTCATTTACAAAAATGTTATGGGCGCTTTTGAGAGTGTTTATGTATTACACATTTCTAATCTCCCAAAAGCAAGCCAAATATTCGCTGTGCTACAATTTACTATAAAAATTGGGATAAGCAGATGTAAAGTGAAAGTGATAGATAGGTGGCAAGGATAGCGGCGGTTTGTCGCGGCCGCCCGAGGCGCCAATTTGCGGGCATTGTGCGCCGCATCGCGCCATCTGCGTGCTTTGTTGCGCCCTGGGACCATACCAGCTTGGAAATTGTAGCTCAGTATCGCAATATAGTCCACCTATTGTTAATCTGAATTTTATTGACATACTAAGTTTAATTATTAGGTAAATGGAAACGCAAGTTTGCTGAAAACTTCCTGGTATAATCATGAAAAAATACCCATTGAGAAATGCACCTAAAATGTAAATATGAAACAGAAACAGGATAACTTGGTAACTTATAATTTATTTTGTAAACTCTGTTCGCCCTGGGGAAGTCCCATTAAAAACTAATTAGGACTTGATAAATCGACGAAACTAACTCTACAATCTGTAGGTAACATAACAGTGCTACACAATCACCTAATTAAATTAGTAATACATAAATAGAATAGATAAGATACTATATTAACAGATAGAATAATTGATCGACTCTATATTTGTTTTCAGTTTCAGCAACTACTTAGTTTATATAGGACTAGGCGACCTTCAGATTTAATCTCTATTGTATCAGCTATCGATTTACCTGTAAAATTATGTTAATCGAACGTCCCATTATCGGTACTAGTGTTGTATTGAAGCCTCGATTATTTTAGAGCCATTATGGTATTGCAGTACGCCACACAGTTGATTTATCTCTAAGCTTGGACATAACTGGCAGCTAGATTTCCTAAGTCGTATTCAGAATAAATTACAGACTCTCAGGTGCTCGGCTGGTATGTGGAACGTAGGTACAGTATGGCTATGGTGCTTGCGAACGCTATTTTCGAGAAACTCGGCCACTTGTTTATAGTTATTATAGTAATAAGCGTTTATCTATCCCTTATCGCTGCCTTTGAATGGGCCTCTTACGTTACGATACACAGATAGCTTTACTGTTGCAAACAACAAGTTGTAGTTTTGATTCTATCAGTAAAGTGTAAGTTTTGGTCTTTATCTTGAAAACATTATTGGTTTATTTAATGCAAAAGCTAATAAATACAGTAAAGTCTTATTTAAGATCGGATGTCAGTGGTGGTATTAAAAATTATATTTTATTATTAAAACAACCAGTTTGAAGAGTAACGCCTTGCTTTTAATTATATAGTCCATTGAGAAAAATATGCAATTATTAACCGTAATTGCATACCAAAGATTAATGGCGCAACCGCAAGCAAAACCAATACTTTGCTGACACGGGAAGAGGATGAATTCATAATAATTTCTGTAATTGTTTTCCGTGAAAATACTGAGATGTTCAAACTCTCACCGCGCTAATGATTTAATGATGTACCGGAGAAAACTGTACCTGCTATTTTACACGTAATATTTCATAAGTTGGTCACACAGACCCCCGCTAAATTACAGAGTTGCCAACGCGACAACACAATCTTCCATCTTCATACGCGGCGGAGTAATACCGATAATGCTATTTATTATAAATCCTATCACCGGCACTGTTAGCTCGCTCGTTGAGCCGTGTGGAACGTTGATCTACGATGACGAGATAGCACTAGGCTGCAATGCAAGAGAATGCAAGCCATGCAATTCAGCACTATGCATATAATAGAGTACAGTAAGATACACTTATGTACTTCAGAAGCTTAAGATGTATTTACTTAGTTGGGTATAGGTATTTACGTAGTTTGAAAAGATAAATTCCAGATCCAATTTCCAGATTGGAATTTCTAATAAGAACAAAAGTATTATTCGGACTTCATCGCATAAAAACGGCGGGTCCTTCCAAAAATATAGGGGAAATTTATCGTCTATTTCTCAAACAAATTGGGGTTGTAGCCGACATGCGAGGTGGATCTTTCCGCCCGTTGGCGTCACGCCTCGCGCCTCCACGCTCGCGCTCGCCCTAGCTTCACGCCTGTCGGTGGCCCAATTACTGGGACGCGACCTCTGCGCCAGGCTGCCAGCAGAGCGCACTCTAAACTAATCTGCGGAACAGGCAGACCTGTGCCAGCCTCGTAGATAAGGACTATTATCGACAAATTATTAGCAAACAGTGGTGTCAGGTGCCGTAATTTAGAGCCTGCAATAATATTCAATTAGCAGTATCAGTTGGTCCAATTAACGAAATTAAGCTACCTACTTATTCAGTTATCAAATAATTTATTCTTCTCGTGTCAAGTAACATTCCACCACATCTGAATTACCTCTTTTAATAACAAAATTAATGAATGTAAGTCTCTCGGAATATGAACCAAATTACATTCAGATCTTGCCGTTAAGATTGCAAAAGTTCCACAACATTTAAACTTCCTCAATCTTGTCGTAAATAAATTAAAATCTTAAGAATTCAATTGTACTGCACTGTTCGATACAATGTAGCGACCGAACTCCGGGAACAAACTACGGCGTCTGTAGCGGCCACTTAACTCGTTCGACGTATTCGTTACATTAACCCTAATTTAATTAACTTGCTCCGGACGTAAATATCAATGATACTGCTGATAAATATCCNAAATATTCTTCAACTGATACTGGCCTTAACTCAATTAGCCGTAAACAATCCAATTTAAGTGACAGAACAATAAGCAGCTGCTGCTACATAATACGATAATGATAGTACTTCTGATATTAGATTTGCCATTAAGATTCATTTCAAAGGGAAATGAAATTATCTGCTTATACGGAACATGTGTTAACAGCATTCTGGTGACATAACATCAATATGAAGGTTCAACTTCATTTAAGTCTAAGATATTATCGTGGCTCCTTTCCTGCCTTACCACTTTCACGTTTATATACACACTAGTAAGATACTGGGCTTATTACGACGTTTGTTGACTATTATTGTGTGTAATTATATCCGCATGAACATAATTACAAAACTCTAAACAGGAATTACAAAATGTTGTACATGTCGCAGGCAAATTGTATGATTCCGCATTTTACAAACGGCTTCGTCAATTTACAAACGCTCGCTGTTCTATGAAATGCCGGAGGCAAATTGGCGACTCGTTCAATTGATAAAATTTCGACTATGATTGTTGCAATAGGGTGACCATCATAACACACATGTTGGACAAATCAGACTTAATTTCAGAAATCAGGTAAGTATCTATTCAAGTAAGACAAACCTAAAATACTTGCTACTCCTAAAGTAATTAAAATATTCTTATTCTTATTCTTATTTTCGTAACAAAAACAACACTAAACTAATAATTTATTTATTTATTATTTATTTATTTATAAGTTTCGATAGACAGTCCTTTAGATAAGTCTTACATTTTAATTATACCAAGAAGAAGTCTAGAATACATAACACAATATTTTTTATACCATTATATTCCGCAGCAGTCCTCCGAGCACCAGATTCCATTGTCACCTTAGCGTTTTTTACGTGCCGGATAACCTCAAAAACTATTTTATTTTTCCATAGCTTTTTCACTGCTCCTATTTGTGAATCGTAAAATTTTCTTAATTCACTAAGTATAATAAATGTCTTTTTTTGTGAAAAGTCCTTTGAATACGTAGAATTTGCACTGGTTTCTGTATCACAACACCACTACTCGACGCCATTTTTCTTGTTTTGATTAGCAGCGCCTCGCGTGGTAAGAAAAAGAACTAAATACTTCAATTTGCCGCGGCATTTTGTAAACAGCGATTGATTTGGATATCAAATGTTTTGGCATATTATAAAGTGCCAAGGCAATTTACATTTTGCCTTCGGCATTTCATAGAACAGCGAGCGTTTGTGAATTGACGACGCCGTTTGTAAAATGCGGAATCATACAATTTGCCTGCGACATACACATTACATTATGTTGAGGTAAAATTACTCTCATACATTCCCACACAAACTTAGTAGGTAAGGTATGTAATGTAGCGAGATTGTAGGAATGTCATGTCAAAAATTGCGCGCAGTAGACTTATCTTTTAAAAGCTCTCCGCATCTAACCCTTTCCAAATAC